GACCGCGCGGACGGTAAAAACTCGCGGGGAACGCGATGAGAGCTCGAACGGGGCCGAAAAAAGGTCGAAAACGGTAGTGCGGGGGGCGAAAAGCGAAAATGTCGGCACCCGCCGGCGAGAATCTGAAGAATCGCACTCGAGTTATCAATAACGCGCAAACATCGGAAAAKGCGAAAAGCGATAAGCGAGAATCGCCGTCGAATTTTGTGATTGGTGATTCGCTATGGGACGAAATAATCGACACCGGGACGCGCCACCGTCTTCACGTTTTATAATATAAGACGCGCCACCGTCTTCACGTTTTATAATATAAGAAGATCGCTATGGGACGAAATAATCGACACTTGGACGCGCCACCGTCTTCACGTTTTATAATATAAGATAGCTGCCATCGGAAACTCGGAGGCCCGTTGGACTCGCTGGAAGTGGATGTCGATTTTGGGGTCAAGTTGTTGGATTTATAAAAGTCGAAAGTTTATGGAGGTGATTGAGGTTAGGATTTTTGATTGTGATAAGAATTAGTGATAAGGCTTGGAGGTTTGGCGCAATGTTTGAAAGTTTCAGCTTCAAGCAATCCGCTTCGGCCGTTGTGAATTGGTTGGAAACAATTCCCCAGTGTTTTACCTGTGCTCTCTCGTATGTAAAAATGTGTAGGCCGATTGTCTAGCTATCAGTCATCACCAGTGTAAGTCGATAGCCGACTGGGCAATCCACTCTTGCCTTATTTGGCTATATATGTACTGCCTTCATTTGTACAGTGATTTAAAAGTGTAGAGTCAATAGTTTGGTGTTTTTAAYTGTCTAGCTATCAGTCATCAACGATATAAGTAAATAAATAACCGAAATAATATGGTCAATCACATGTATTTTTTTTACTATGATTCTTTTTGTTTGAGGTTTTACATTATTATTAATCTAAAAATTTAAATTAAAAAGAAAAAAGTTAATACAGAAAAATATATTCCGCAAACATATATATTTGTATTTATTCAAAGATCAATAATACTACATATTAATAATATTTTTAAGAAACACAAATATAAAATAATTCAAATTAAAGTAAGTATATACATATTACATAAATAAATTATATGTCGTCTTCCTCATMGTCGTCATCACTACTGCTGTCACCTGGTCGTATTGTGAGAATAATAGGCTCTAAAATTACTTCTCTATGTTTTTCCTTTTCATAATCTTCGTCCTGTATTCTTTCGGCATGACGAACGCAATTTACCCAATTTTCTTTATTCACCGAATCTATTGCTTCGTGCATTAATTTTTCAACATCAACCATCTTGAACGTTGTATTTTTAGATGCAACTTGTCTCTTAACTTGTGCCCATATCATTTCGATTGGATTGTACTGGCAATGATAAGGTGGTAACCGTACAACTTCATGTCCCATTTTAAGGGCCAATTCATCCAGCTCGTATTTTTTTTCGGTTGGTATTAAGACTTTAAGTCTTTCACGAAGCTCAGCAACTGTTTCAAGTGGAGAAAAATCAATATTTTTTTTGGTGAACCATTCTTGTATATCGGCTTTTCGGGCATTGCTTTTTGGAAAATTATYTTCCAACATTGAGTGGTATGGAGCGTTGTCCATGACGATGACACATGATTCTTCAAGGGATTGCAACATTTGTACGAACCAAGATCTAAAAACTTCAGCATTCATTTGATTA